CTAGTCCAGTTGACCTTTTATATATAAATGTTTTAATAACAAGCATATGTGTGATCAGATTGTTCGAAATGTATTGCACTAATATATCACATAGTTCTGATAATCTTCGTCTTCTTATTATACTATCGAAAAAAATTTTCCGTTGCCGTCGATGTCGCTGTTTTGCATAACTTCGAGCATCAATCAAACAAAACAAACCATTTTTTTATATTTAAAATTATAATAATATCTATCACAAATATTTGTCTAGTATTATCTTCTTTTAATCATTTCTCTTTAATGTAGACAAATCAATAAGGATAATAATTAATTATAATAGGGAATAAAGAAGAGTAAATACGATTGTTTATTCGTCTCCTTTTAATATTGTTAGTTTAAAATTATATATTAGAATGTATTCCTAGTAAGAATTTACTCGTTTTTTTTCCTTTTTTCGAATCACCATTATGTAATAATAATAATGTTTTGTTTTGTTCTATTTTTTTATCTCATATTTTGCGGCATAATACACAACATAAGTAAACAGACATACATGTAAATAAATCTATTCATGTACATGTTCAAGTTTGACCGCCTAGATAAAATTCTTTATTAGTTTTTTTTCATTCCCTTACCGCTTCTACTATTGTTGCTGCTACTCACAGTAATCAGTAATTTTGATTTCCCATACTCCACCCACGCATGATGTCATGCTTTAAAGTTGTGAGGCGTTTTTTCCCGTTACTTAATTAGTGAATTATTATTACTATTATCAACCTCAGTATTACGACCATACAGTAATAATACGTATGATTGATTAATCAGTGAACACGTATTCATAGAGAAGTAGTAGGGGAAAATTGTAACAATTAAGATGAATATAAGGAGATATAAACACTTTAAATTATGTACTATTTTACTTAATGTCAAAGTATATACATCTTTATAAATATTTTACTGTGGTGGTTGTGTGAGAATTTCTGAAAGTTAATTTCATCGTGAATTAACGGGGATACCCAGCGAACGGTTATTTTGTGCTCGTCTTGGACGCTTTAAGGACTCAATTAGGTGGATGCATTTTTAACACTGAGTTATCATTTAATAGTTTACATTTCTAAATCCAATTAATTGGTAATGTTGTGCGCTTATCATCCAGTTGCCATTAACAATATCTGTTTCCCTCGGGTCACTATTGAAATTCACTGATTACGTTTCATTCAGGATAATAATACAATCTCACATTATTTCCATCGGGTTAGAAGGACATTAATTTACTCGTAGTTTTGGAAAATTATTTATCAATTTTAGCCTTATATCTACAGTTTATTTACTTGACTACTGACAATATCTAACCATGTGGTGTTGATTCCAGTCGTTAAGAGCGAACACCTATGAACAATGTTCCGAAATGTTGATGTTCTTAATCGTAAAGATGATAATGATCATTTGTATTCGATCCTTTTTATTTTATTTTAACACATAGGTATAGGTATAAGGACGCATCAAATACATATGCGCCACACGAATCTCAATTGATTTGTGTGAGGGATGTAATACTGCCCGGGTGCCCAAACCGAAGCAGGTGGTTTTCTTAGGGAGCCACACCCCGAGCCTTCGACCTGAAGGTCTGATCAACAAGGCAGTGGAGCATTGTAAGGAGATGCAGTCCCATGGTAGCCGGTGACCAATAATTGGTGCATATGCCATTTTTTCCTTCAGGATACTGGAGCCCATGTTTGCCATTGGTTTGGAATCCGGTTAAAGCGCCGGACATTCGCTTTTCGTCCTCTCATTTTTGTAAACAACACCCCCGCCACGAGAAGGCAGTGTGTAGGACTTCCCTGGCAGCGGCTATATACGCGTGGCCATGTGAGAGCATTTGGAGAGGGAGAGCTTACTCTCCTCACTCTCGGCCGTACCAGGGCATTTGATTCTTATCGAATTAACACGATATAATCGCTTAGTCATTCAATAATTCCTTCATCAAAAAAGAGCAGGTTACAATATCAACACTAAAAGTGATAATTTGATAATTTTGCCGTCTATATCTGATGTACAAAAATAATATATCCTCCTAACTATTTTTGAAATTTGTTTAATGTTTTTTCTGTGTGCAATATATCATATTGTTTTAGGCTTGTTACGACCTGTTGGATAACAATACACGTAGTCAACTAGAAACACTTATACAACGCCTTCGTAAACAAAATTGGTCTGAAGTATGGCGTCAAGGTTGCCCAGATATGGATAATACAATTTCATTGTAAACTCTGTAGTGTAAACTTACATTGAATGCCACAAAATTCAAGCCTTTCCTTGTTTTCTTACTGTACAATCTATTCAAATATGTATTTGAGTTAATTGTATCTATACATAACTAAATTCAAACATTCTATACCTTGAGTTTCTCGCTATGTAATATATATATATATATATATATATATATATATATATATATATATATATATATATATATATATGCATACTTTTGTTTATTTTTAGCTTTTATTGATTCAATTTTCACTAAAAAAAATTTACTGCACACATCATCGTCCTTTGGTTTGCTGAATTTTTACTTTTTTGTTTGTGTTGGAATACCATGAGAGGTTCACTATCGTTATCAGTCTTATATGAAGAGATTTAGTTGAGATTTTTATCATATACAAATAATTGTCGTCATGGTAACAAACTTTTAAGCGTTTGATGGGTATATTTATTTTTTTTATCACATATTGGTTTATATTCAAAAAAGATTACTTACCTCATAATTCTTACATGTACCTTATTAAAGGGATTTGAGAATAATCAATTTGATCCTATCAACTAGATTTATTATTCTGCAGAGTAAGTGGTGACTTGGTGGTCAAGGGCTCGACTTTTGGTCAGTAATTAACTAGCTCGTAATCCATTCTACGTGCTTTGATTTGAGTAACATTGTGGTAGTACCAGTAGTCTCCATAACTGGAATGTGATCTACGGTCGAATTACACCATTCGTGTCTGTTAAGTGAGTTACTAGTAGTGGTAAAATGATAGCAAGTCATTCTGGACAGTTTTTCTGAGGGTTGGCGAGACTCAATAAACTGCTTTGTTTTTACCTCCTCAACATTGACATAATATCAGAGATTCGAGTCCCCATCGTATAATATTTTTTACCGGGGACGCTATCGACAGATTCATACGAACTTATTCGTTAACATGGTTTTTTGGCTATAAATTGTATGGTATTTTATTGAGAACTTAAGGCTTTACGGTTATATAATACGGCTGTTTACTCCATTCATTGAGAGCTTCTACTAAATTGAATGAATTTTCATAAGATATTATTATATGTTGTTTATGGTGTTAAAAATAGTAGAAGTTTCACATTCTCTTTTATATCTGAAAATTAGCATAAATTTATTCCAAATATAGGACCTGGTTAGCCCTCTTGAATCAAAACCGAATTTTATTCTGCATTTTTCTTTAGAAAAAAAGTATATTTTAACAGCTTAACACAAAACTAAACCATATTAAACCAGCATTTTCAGCTATTTTTCATTTCAAGTAGTGGTTGATTGCCACATATTGGAATGTGATTTTCACTAGAGATTTCATCTCAAGATCTGATTTTAAAATTATGTGTATCTGTGTTTTTTATCCTGTATATTGGACTATCCTACAGTGACATGTTCATACACAGCAGTTTTTGATAACTAATCGCTTGAAATGAAATCTCTGGTGAAAATTACACTTCTATATGCAGCACTCACCAATTGAAATATTAGATATAACGTTACTCGATTATTGAAAATGTAACAAATGGCCCTAGTTTATAAATTCACAGTAATAAACGATATGGTGTTGAACCAACTAAGATTAAAATAGTGACTTCTCAAAGAGTATGTATTCATTTTGTGCAGATGGCTTTTTAAGATACATTTAATTGAAAATTAGGTCGCTTATGATTGGTGTAAATTATATCCGAAACATAATGAATGGTTCATTACTTTGTATAGATAAGTTTTAAGAGCACAAGTATCTCTGTCATGTTTAAAATTCATTGATATTAAAAAGTCATCACACCAACCATTCAGAACCTTTGTATGAATATTATAAATCGTTTATAAAAGTACTTCTGACTCGATAAACTACCCAGTTATTTACAGAGTTTTTATAACAAAAAAAGTCCCGTTTCAGATAGTAAAAATCGTGAAAAATTCTTAACCAACGAACAAGTTTAGGTTGCGTCACTTCCTGGTGATCCGTCTACTCACTGGTCTGTAAGGCGTGTATGGGTCTTAAGGTCACCTATAATGTTTCAGGAACAGTTTTGTATAGTTTTGCCGATGCTATCACTGGCCAACATTTATTTCTCGCTAACTAACTGTAGTAACTAGATCTATCTTTTTCACCTGTTTTAGTAAGGTTCTAAAATATCTCATTGCTGATATTGAGGTTTCAATTTTGGGTCCCAGTGTGACCAACACAAATCTAACTAGTGAACAAGTCCCAAATAGAACGAAACGGATGTCCTGGATTACACTGTTTATAATCACAATCCATTTATTCTATAAAAACGACTGGAGATTATTATTTTCTGTTTTTTTCGTTTAAAGTTCCAATATCTTATACTTTTCTCTCGCATGAAAAAGACTTACTTCAATTTTCTTTTGTTTTTAATTAATATGAAATAAAAAATAACATGGATGATGAAAATAATAAAAGCAGTAATAAAGGCATTTAATATATAGTTCTAGGTGATGAGGATTGCTTGGGAGTATGGTGAATCGAAATAGTTCATCTGGATTCAATGAGATATCAGGGAAGCAATGAATTATTAAATATAGTAGTAGGTCAAATGCATAGAACATAGGATGTGTTAAAGATCTATATAATCAAAATCATTATCTACATGAAATCTAGATTATCTTGCAATAATTGGGTTTGAATGAGGAACTTCGGAGGTCGGGGCTGTACAAACTGATAGGAAGATATAGAGAGGGGAGGATATTATCATTGTGCGCTTAATATTTTATACAACTACACAGTATTATTGTTATTAGTGGTATTTCTTTGCATAAATGATATATGGTCCAGTGGCATAGAATAATATGGATGTACATTGTAATTAGGAAAGTTAGTTGATACTACTACTTCTTTTGATGATGATAATGTTGTTGAAGAAGGAACAGATGCATTTCTAGGTTTACGTCCTCTTCTTGGTTTATCACGCATATGTGTTTTAGTATGACGATTACGTTCATCGGAACGTGCAAATCGTCTGTCACATATTTTACATTCATATGGTCGTTCACCTGTATGTGTACGACGATGTGTCATCAAATGATCACTTCGTGTAAATCCTTTTTCACAAATATCACATACAAACTGTTTAATTCCACTATGTGTACGTTGATGACGTTTAAGTTCGTCAATTCGAACAAAACGCTTATTACAACTTGATATACCACATATAAATGGTTTTTGTTGGTCAGATAATTTTTGACATTTATTATGAATAGATTTTGATTCGGTCTGTATGGTTTTGTAACAATATTCACTTTTACATTGATTAAAATCAAATTTACTTGATATAGAACATGTGGGAACACTTTCTGGAGTTACATAGCTTTGCCGATCACTGATAATTCCATTATTATTACTATTACCATCGATATTTGGAATGAGAACAATATCATTATTTTGATATGTAGACCATGGTGTATGATTTTCCGATATGTTATATGTATTATCATATAGGCCTCTATAATTAGAGGAAACAGTATCAGTGTTAAATTTTGTTGAGTGTAATAAAGAATCGGTTGACCAGTGATTAAATATGGTATCTGAGTTATAATTTTTAATTGTAGTCGTGTGGGATTCCAATGATACTGTTTCATTCGACATTTCTAATTTTATTTCTTCAGTATTAGGTGGATTTGGATGTGATTCTAAATTCAAATAAACCAAAGGAGACTGAATTTGAGGTTGAGTAACTGTTTGGTCATTTCTATTGGTAGTCAACGGTTTTAAATATTGTACTTCAAGTAATTGTGAATTATTTCTGTTTTGAATAATCTGTTCATCTTCACTTGACTCAACTGAAATAGAAAGCGAAGAGATTAGTTACTAATTTAAGAAAAAATGTTGATTTAAGTGTTTCCCCTCAAAAGGGAAGATGAACTTACCTTTTATTACTGGGTTCGGGGGATATATGAAGTAGTTGTCAGATTCTTTGTCAAGTGGTGTTGGAGTATTTAAGTTTTCCCATTTTGAAAAATCTCTATAACTATCATCGGTTGCATAAGTTGGTGTATGTCCAGTCGGTATATCATTGAAAGCCGCCTTAATATCACCAGTCGGTAGCATCCAGTCTATTATGTTACTGTTTAACGTTCTTAGCATTCTCACCTATTAATATGCGTATCATTTGCACTACAACTCGTATTTATCCGACCGAAAAACACCTAGTCATCTGTAACCAATAGAAATTATTCCACCAACGCATTGTTATTTTAAGTAACTAAAATTTATCGCTAAATTTATCAACCAACTAAAAGCGAACAGGTAACTTGAATTAACCTTGAAATTAGCCAATGAACTTAACATATTAGTTTCAGACATTTATAGATCACACCCCTTTGATTTTAAAAATGAGCTGTCAAAGTTCGACTGCCGATTTGAAAGCGGTGGGTGTGATTTCACCATGTTTTTTTCAAAATTCATATGATGATTTTGCCGTTTATTTCCCAATAATGTTTTATCTCTACCAAAAATTCCTCGAATCATAATTACTTTTCTCTTCAAATCATTTTTTTTTCAATACAGATGAATACGAATCGTTTTACCAATCATTCTTCAAAACAATTCACAATTTGTCTAAATCATAAAATATATGGTTCTTTTAGTATGATGATGAATGATCTCGGCTTTTAAATAATGTCAGTGAAATTTATAGTCAAGTTTACAGCTTTATAGAGAACTCATAAATTTGAGTATATTTCTTATCACATAAATCAGTGGAAGTACTTGATGTAGAAATTAACGTAAAAGATGGATATCTGTATACTAGAGCTAGCTACGGCAGAATGTATAAACTTGTTCATATAAATTGTCCGAATGTGTTTGTTTAATTTCACTACTGTACATAAAATGCAGTCATCTAGAATATTATTATTTACCTACTAATTTACAAGTTTACGCGTGGACTACATTAGCGCACTCTTAATATATACATAGTAATTGTATTGATTTATAGATGTTGATTCTTTTTCGACTAGTTTTTTAGTCATAATCATATTCCGTTATTGTTGTTTTGTTATTTAGTTATATGTATGATCATTATAACCTCTACTATTATTGTCATTATTACTATTATTATTTCATACACTGTACTCATTTATAAATACGAAAAGTTGTACATATACATACACATACATATATGTGCACGAGTCACAGATTTCACCACTAGCTACGTCCCATCTATTCTAAGCAGTAAGTTGTATACAAATGATGACTGAAGTTGATAAAGAAACATTACAGGTTAAAGCATTCAACTTCTAACCAACAACGTGTAGGTTTGAACTCCAAATAGTTCTGCTTACACCAACCCTCATATCAGAAGATATGACTCAAAGCTAAGTACTTGTACATGTACTTATTTAAGTTCGTTGAGAAATAAACTTGGCAGCGATTTTCAAAATAATAACTTTGATATAAACGGTCTTCCACTCTGGCAACTGAACTACTATGAGAACCGATTATCTTCAAGGTTCGAATCTTTTCCTATCTATCGATTGTTGTAGTTAACTATCGTCTGACCATTAGATACATCAATGCCCACATTTCATCATATTATAAACTAGGTCGTGTTTTTATTTTGATTAGTTTCAGTTTCTTAAGTAAAAATTTTGTAAAGGCGTATACTCGGTTGTTTTTAGGAGCTTTGTATAGTTTATGGATAATTTTCATCGTGGTTTGGATGCAGTCAGTTAGCTATTGAAACCTGGTAGAACAAAACGTTTGTTTCCAGCTAGTTTGAAAATCGTGAAGCTGAAATTTGTGGACCGACTAATTCTTGTTTAATAGTTCTATGTTTTTATGTTACTCCATAGACTGATATTCCTAGGGTTAATTTCGTCTAGACATGTAAGTGTACAATTCTGAATAGTCATGGATTAAAATAATTAGATATGTAGTGTGACCTAATTTCCAATGGTTCACCGGTTTATGTTAACGTCTATACAAAAGCAAACCTGACTAGCTACATTTCTGTAATATATACAAGTCCTAATGTTAAATTTATTAAATCTTTTGAATACTTCTTAAATTGGAAAAGACAATGATTTTTATGCATTTTATTAAGAAATATCGCCAAAAAAACCAGGGGACTATTTTAAGGACAAAAAAAAGATATCACAGATTACTTTTTAATACAGTTTTGTGATGTTCAACGTGGTCCAACTTGAAGATGCAATATCCGTGTAAATTTAATCAGTCTATTTAATTCGTCTAGATACATGCAGATCAATGATAATAATATTTAGTCCCAAATCTAAACTAAGCAAATTTTCTTACATGACAATAGAGGCTCACTCATTTTAGACACCGTGCTTTTTTCATAGCATTGTTTACTACTGATTTTAGAAGTATTGTTTTTTCTTTACAATAATCAATTTTTAACATGACAATTAGTTACTTATAATAGATCTACCTATTATCACTAATTCATTAGGACATGTCTAACTTGGAATTTATTTTACGTATTGATCCATAGTCACATGTGGATAGCATGTAGCGATTAAAAATAACGCCCACTCCTGTCTGTTATGCCAAATGCGTTTATATATTTAAAAAACTTTCAACCTACATAATTGATAGGTTGATATTCGAATAGTTTCAACCTTGAGAGTTTATTGGTTGTTCAAGTGGTGGAATAACTTGAAACGCATTTTTAATCTTTCTGAATGCATTAGTTGCTATTTTAAAGATATGAGCGACTTGTTGTATAGTTTCATCAATTAATTTAATGTATAGTTAAATGTTACTTGTGTTACACATCCAGAATAATGATTTGATGTATTTATTTGTTTAAACTCTATTGAGTGGGAAATCACTTAAGAAACACAACTATGTATGTAAACGTTACGAAATCCTTGATTGATTATCGATAGCCTTCAATCGTTCAGTGATAATTCACAAGTCGTAACAGTATTCTTACACAGTTCCTCATACATCATGGGAACTAAACCATAACATCCTCAGGTATTATACAATTGGTGATAGAAGCTATTATTTTTAATGTGCATCAGTTCATTAGGAATGATTGATTTCTTGCAATATTTTTTAATAGAACTATAATTTATAGACTAACCAATCGGATTTAAGATTCTGTCTCTTGGGTTTTCGCGCGAAACTCATTCATCTACAAGGCTAAATGACATCCTAGCTTTATGGCTAATGTCAATACGTGTTAAATACACTAACTCTATTCCTTAAGCCTTACTTTTAACACTAGTTCCTGAACTGGATTCCATGTACTAATTCATAACCTTTTATTGAACCAGTTAGCTAATTGGATTTTCGCAGGTTCACTTTGGTTGCTCTCGAAGGTCGTCTATAAATTATGGTCTTATCCAAGTAGTTTGTTGAACTCTTTACAAGTAATGTTGTGAAGTTAATAAATGCGTTATAATTTTACAATTTAAACTTATGTGGGTAAATGTATTTGGATTCGGACGGGGTGAAATCAAATCTACTCACAGCAATTCGCCATTGTCACGTCATAGACAAAGTGCTAACTGCCACAACCCCATTGCATACCAACTTGACATACCTCATGTTAGCACATGATAAGGAATTGACAAGAATAAAGATATAGGACCGAAAACTATTCATATCGATTTTACTGAAAACTCAGACATAGAAATATAAATTAAAGTGGATAAATGAGACGGAATCATCATGGAAATCAAGATAACAACAAACCCAACCAAAAGACAATCTCTAACCCAAGGGCTCAAACCTGGAATTGTACACTGTTCAGCTTGAAAGTTGATATCACCACAACGCTAGTTGAACAAATACCAATTTGAAAGCAGTTCAGTTTAAAATTTATAAATTACATCACTGATCACTGAAAACCAGACGTTCAGCTGGTTCGTTTTAGTACGGGACTCAGTAGTGTGAATACACTATCCACGAGGAGGTATCTTTAAGTGTTGTAGAGAGAACTTAACCTTAAAACTACTAAGCTGACGAAATTTGAAGGTTCTGACTTCGTGGATATTCACTGGTAGGGGTTATCCATACTAGGAAAAAACATCTATCCAATGCTTCCTGGTTTCTAATTGATGTCTAAGGTCTGTCCATAATGTAATAATTAAAACGCAAAAGTATACATAAAATCAAAATATTGAACTTTAGTGTGTAGGAACTGTAATAAATTAGTTTTCACACATTCAAATATAACCTATGATAGTACTTAGTTGCAAAGATCTGTTGTTTATTTATTCGTTACCATTTGGGAAAACAAATATACATATATAACGACTAGCCTAGTGAATTTTATATCCTTCCACTGTTTGTAATACATTTATCAGTAAAGTTTGAGTTATATCCGTCGTTATTTCGTTTACTTATTCAGACTAGTATAGGAGATAATTACATGATATTACTCTAGTTACAATAGTTATTAAAACTGTAGCCAGTTACTGTGTTTACACAGTAACTGTACAAAAATAAAATGACTCAGTCTTTGAATAAAAATAAAAGTAATTCAGCGAAGGAAATTTTCTTTTCAATGAAATCACTTACTTAAGCTGTATTTAATGCAAACTATTGACTCTTGTTTGTAGACTGATCAAATTGATCCACAATTCTAATAATCATTGGTTACCTACGCAAGAAATATGATGAATAACAGGTCGACCGGCAAAATTGAATGTTACTACAATTTTTATTTAGATAAAGAATGGTTAGTTAATTAAAAATAAAATAATTTTGGATGAAAATTCATTTTATTTGACGTTTACTAAATAAGCAACAGCACAATATCCTTCTTTTCCCCTTGGTCAATGAAATGATATAGTTATGAAAGAGCTGGAAATGTGTTTAGCTTAACATACTCCTATAGTTTTTTTTTTCTTTTCATAGTGCTTTGAAATAAAGTAATGACAATGACTAGTCCTACAGTATCATCCATACGCCGTCATAACTAATCACTTATAAGTCTATAATACTAGGCTAAATACCCTGATTAGCTCTTATTTTTAGTAACTAGTCATGCGATCAATTAATCCAAGTAAAATTCATCCTTCATGTGACATTTTCTTTCATCGGTCAACATTTTATTGATCCATAATTCTGTTGGCTGAAATTGATTGATAAAGTTGAAAGAAAATTTC